CGCTCATCAGGGTAGCGGTTGGGAGAACAGTGATTGGTGTTGTATTGTGATGACGCAACAACGACGACGACTACTCCCACCACCACTACTACTACTACTACTACTACTACCACCACTACCACCACTACTACTACCACCACTACTACTACCACCACCACCACCACAACCCTACTACGACTACTACCACCACTAGGCGTGGCACTCGTAATTGACTGCGCCCCTTTGGGCTTCCGTTCATTGGGACAAAGGACACCAAAGTAGTGTAAATTACGGGGTATTCAGCAGTTCCTTGAAAATGAGGACGAAAAGCGTAGCATCAAACTCCGGAAAACTACTTCAACCACTTGATGTACATGTCGGCAGTTGATCGGTAAGAGTTTGTGTTCGCGGGCAACTTCTTGTCGTCCGCAAGCATATCAGCGTCATGGTCATCAATAGTTGCGTTAGCAGGTTCAGGCCTGCTTTGGAAGAAACTTTGAGAAGAAGCTCTAGGAACGCAGGTTTCGGCTTCAGGGGCGACATGAAAAATTATGAGATGAAGCTGCGGGTATGATTTTGTCGGCTTGAGAACTTGCATATACCAGAACACGAAGATGAGCTCTGGGAATGAAGGCTTGGGCTTGCGTTGGGTTTATGCGGCTTGATGGCAGCAAGTTCGAAAGCAGACCTGAGGACATCTGTTTTGCACGGGCCAGACTTTCCCCAAGTGAAACCCTAAACTAAAGACCACTACGGTGCAGCACGCGCTGCACCCGGCACTAAAGGACGTTGTTGGGCTTCGTCATGGCTGCACACAATCACATGTCAGTATCGCAGCAACAATGCAAGTTCTTAACCCCCTCCGCCTGCGAGAGAAGCAGATCGTCCCCCGATCAACTACGAGTGTGTCGGGCACTACGACGACGACGACGACGGCAACGCCTTCTTCTAGCAAAGCATGCATCCCAAAAGACTGTAGAACAGACAGCGGACCGCGAGCAAGCGGAGCTTCTGCTTGGTAAAAAACTGGATGAACAACATATTACGCTTCTCCATGTCTGCATTAGCGCTTCGTCGCATCCATCCCTCTGCTCGTTGACAGGAAACACGAGTACCAACCTGCAGAGACTCACAACATTGCCCTTACATGTTACGTTGAGCCTTTCTGTCGGCAGCTCTGCGTAACAGTTAAACTTACAGACTTTCGATGGGTAGGCTGAATACTTTGATTTGCTCATGCCGATGACCGATGAAAACGGAGTTGTTTACTGAGTTACGTGTGTGTGTGTGTGTGTAGAAGCAAGACCCGAGAATCAAGCACAGGCTAGGTACCGCCTCCACAGCTTGATCAGCCTATCGTCTGCACCCGAGACGATGAGGGGAAGCCTGTGGAAGCATGCCGACGAATTCAGATTTCTGCGCTTTTGAGATCGGCGGCGAACTGCATGAACCCAATGTGCTTCGCAGGAAGGAAAGAGCTCAGGAGTGTCAGGGTGTCCGGGACAAGACAAGTTGAACCGCCGTAGCTGCTGTTCTCCAGACTGCTGCACCCTCGAAAACATGGACCGCCCGCCGTTTTCTGAGTGCGGAACGTAGGATGGAAGGATGCCCAGTTCACACCCCGGTCGTGGCCCTCGAGAACCTGGCAACATGACAGGACCGCTGTTGCAGCGAGTGCCACGCTAACAAGGCAACAATGTGTCGGCCACACATACTTGACTACTGCGTCTGACGTGCCGAAGACGTCGTTCGCACCTGCTGCCCCAAGCTGCACAAGAAAATCAACTTGGCTCGCTTCCCGCACCTTTCCCAGGAGCTCCCATGCCACCCATGGACGAGCCGATGGCCACGGTTTTATCTCGCAGCCCCGAAGTGTCCTCGGCCGGCCGTCAAACAGAACACAAAGCTTCCAAGGGCCTTGTGCCTGCCTGAGCACTGGGGCAACAAGCATCAAAGCTCCGCACCCAGACCCTCACGGTCTGATCCAAGGAGGCGGAAACTACGAGATCCTGCGAATGCCGTGTGAATTTGTGCTCTGAGAAATTCCTCGAGCTGGGACCTAAATAACGCAGCAATCACCCTCTCACAATCAGCCGCGCGGTGGCTCCTCCTTGGGGTGGAAGTGTGCGCACATCACATAGTGATTGTGGCCGGTCAAGACCTGCATGGTCACAGGAAGCCCTACTCTCAGGCGCTTGCCTTCTGAACCCAAGGTGCCCAGCAGTACACTAGCACGAGTCCAAGGAGCAACAGACCGCACCAAGCTACGCTTTGGGTGATTTGAGCGCGGGACTGCGATACAAGATCTCGACCTCGCCGCAGGTGAAAGTCGGTGTGAGCTTGTGGTGCCGTGGCATGACGAAACAACCAAGCGCTTGACTGCCAATTCCAAATTCGGATGGTCTGGTCGTCTGATGCACCTACAGCTATGCAAACCACTAGCAGCAAGGTTATGGCCTTCCTTACAAACCGGATCGGAAATACTTAAGATATGCGACCTTTCGAACCGGCTTCGGGAATGCTCAAGATATGTGGCAAATCTCACAAACCGGCTTGGGAATACTCAAGATGTGTATCCTTGGTCACAACAAGGATGGGGATACTCAAGACAGGTGGCTTTTCTCACAAGCCGGGTTGGTAACACTCAGCATGTGTACGGCTGCTCCAAGGAGAATCCCCCAAACTGCCTAAGACACAAGGGTCTGTGTCTCAAAAGCCTTGCACATCAAGGGTGGCACTAAGAATCCACGGGTACTCGTCGTGGAACTCGACCGTTCTGATATAGTCGAGATGGCCTGCCGGCTGGCCCCGGCCGAACGCAGCATTCAGAAGACCAGGGGAGTAGCGGTGCGAAGTCCGTTTTCGCGGCCTAGAAGAGTGAAAATACATCTTCGGAGCTTGTAGTTCCAAACCTCAGTTGCCAAAAGCTGCAGGACCTACAAAACCACCGTGCGTGGCAACATTAAAGGGTGCATGGGATCGTGGCTTTGATCTTGTAGTCGTCGCCACCGGAAACAAACCTGAACACAGCTGTACAACACTTCCAGGACAACTCAGAACGACATGTTGACTGCAAGTCTCACTTGGCATCTCGCAGTGGCTGCGAGAGGTGGAAGCAAATGCCTCGCACAGGACCTCCCTCGTGCTCCTTTCAACAGCAGGGAACGGGTAATAACCGGGCTTCGCTGAACGCATACGAAAAAGCTGCCAAGCAGATGACACCATCCGTGGTCTAGAGATGCCACAGCATGCCAAAGCACGTAAAACGGCTCCTCAAACTTGTCAATCAAGGAACCGATCCTCTCGCAAGGAAGGCATCAGCACAACAGGTGAATGTTTGCTTGAGCTTGTTGCAAGGAGCACGTGGACTCCGTTCACGTCTACCTTGCAGTGAGCCCAGATCCTGTAGTCCCACAGCTGGATCGTGCCATTGTGGAGACCTTGCCGGACAAGACCGATGGCATCTTTGAACGTTCTCGCACTTGAGTCTATCACGATAGGATATCTCGAAACCCTGGGGCTGATCTCCGTAACTGTGGAAAGTCAGGTATCCCCAAGTCCTGAGTAGGAAGAGGAGCTTTCGGACACTGCACACCTGCGTGCCATCCTACGGTCGAAACTCCTTCAAGGAGGTCTCAGCCTGTCGCACAAGTTCTCTGACCGTGAAACGACCGGACCCGGCAACCCGACAAAACACATCATTACCGCACACCCTAGAACCCCAGGCACTTATCCAAAACCCAGATTTCTGAGACTGCCACTTGCCAGGATCCAAGAGAGCTTGGGATGAAAGCTTAAGCCCTGGCAGGCTGGAATGTTGAAGTGAAGGGTTGCAAGGATCTGCTGATCTGCACAGTGGAAATATCGGACTAAAGACTAGGCAGGTGGATGCAGCCAGACCCCACGCAGACCCTGCTAGGCATCGACAAAGGCGAAGGCTACGACATGCAAGCACCAAGGGCTGCGAGCCTTGACCCGATTACTCTTGGTCTCGCATTTCACGAGCATCGTTCCGTTGCTGCCCGAACTAGCCATTTATGCCTCGGGCCACGAACGTTGCGGAAAGAGTGGCACAGACGCAGAGCCCAAGGCCTCAAAAAGCGATGGGGGGGCTCCTCCGGCACATCCCCTATGACAAAGAAGAACCCCACGGAGCCAGAGCCACAGCGGCAAACAATGGTCAGTGAAGGGGCGAGGCCATGCGCCCAGACGGGAGAGTAAATGATTCCTGCTGAGATCTGCTAAGGCACAGACGTTCATGGGGACTCTGGCAACGCAACAAGAGAGACGCTCGGCTTTTTTTCTGTTGCTGCTCCATCCTCCTCACTGCAGCGCCTGGCAGGAGGCAGCCACGAGGGAGATCACACGCAGCTCAAAGCCAAACCTCTCTCAGAGAGTTATGAAGCGATTTCTCTCAGAGGTTTGCTGCGGGTGTCTTGGACCAAGGCCTTGGGCTTTTCCCATGGCAAATCCAACTCCTTCCGACCGAAGTGTCCGTACCTTGTCTGCAGAGACTTGCTGAAAGTAGAGACACTCTCGCTCAGGAAGGAGACTCTCAGATACGGACTGAAGCAAGAAATAGCTTCTGGGCTGAAGCCAAGCTGCGCTGAAAGGCGTTGGAACAGAGGACCTTTGAGGTTCAGGTCCTGCGGGCTAAATACAAGACGGCATGTGAACTGGATAAACATACCACAAGCATGTATACACACATGTATGTATGCAGGTGGCTATCTAGGAAATGCCATCTCATTTGAGACTTATTAAGTACATCTGTATATATGTATGTATATTATATATATATATACAGCATTATATAGCGGTGTTTCAGTAATATGAACGAAAAAGGATTGCCAAAAAAAGCTAAAGGACAATGCCACATATGTATATACGCAAGCACGTGCGTGCGTGGGTGCGTGCGCGCG